CCAATGCGGGGCTCAATCCCAGGACCTCAAGATTGTGTCCTGAGCTGAAACCAAGAGTCGGAGGCTTAACCAACTGAGCCACCCAGGCGCCCTTGTATGCCAAATTTTTAAGAGCCAGACTATGACAATGACGGCTTCATGATTTCATTTTATCCAGAGGTAGGAGTAATCAGACATTACTGTGCCTGTGCCCACCTCCCCGTATACCTGGTCTCAAAGGTTCAGAGCTGACCACCCAGGATGGCCACTCACCTGTGCCCTCTCCATCATCCCTCCTTCCCTCAGAGGGCTTTGCAGTCTTAAACCTTGAGATGAACTTGCTTCCTCTAATGCTCTCCCTCCTCTGCCCCATCACCACCCACCCCAGGCGGCCTTGTAACTTGGAAGTGTTTATTTTTACCATCTGTGTCTGAGTGTGACTGTGAGCAGAACCAGCCTTGTGTTTAAGGCAAGAGCTCCTACCTCCCGTCCTTCCACCCTCACACTCTCCTCTAGAGAAGGTTCTTAGAAGTCCCAGCCCCTCCTTTCCCTCCCCATGGCTCCTTCCTAAACCATCTCCCCACCTCTACCCCAAGCTCCCTGAGATTCCCTTGGAACCGTTTTTTAAGTATCCTCTACAGAAAGTGCCTTCCCACTCCAGCCCACTCCTTGCCTGTGAGTGCTCGCTCCTCCCCTCCCACTGCTTCAGACCAACCAGGGGCGCTCACTCCCATCTCTGGCCCAGAGGTCCCAAGTATTTACCCCTCCTGCAGCACTCAGAATTACTCTGTACCGCAATCTATCCATATTCTCAAGTGCTGCCACTGTCTGAGGGTGAATTCCTGAGGCTTGGAACTACATTTTATTTGTATTTTTAGCACACAGATTTTCAGTGTTTGTTCAAAAGAAAGTAAGGGTGTCAGGGAGATCCTCTCTCCCCAGCCCCATTCTCTCTCTTCAGCACCACACACATCCCCACTTGTTTAGCTGTCCGCGTGGGCACCTCAGAAATCCCCAATTCTTTTTTTTTTTTAAGATTTATTTATTCATTTGAGAGAGGGGAAGGGAGAAACGGAGGGGGAGAATCTCAAGCAGATTCCCCGCTGAGCGCAGGGCCCGACCTGGGGCTCGATCCCACAACTCCGAGATCATGACCTGAGCCAAAACCAAGAGTTGGTTGCTTAACCGACTGAGCCACCTAGGGGCCCCGAAATCTCCAATTATTCATGGACAAAAGCAAACAAATTATTCCCCTACTCTCAAACCACCTGATTTCTGATGATTTCAGCCACCTTAATGCAGCCCAAAGCAGAAAACTCAGCATGCTCTTCCATCACAGGTAACCAATCACTAAGACCTCCTATACGTTTTACCTCAGTATTTATTACCTCCTCTCTCATCCTTGTTGCCTTATATTTTTAAGGTCAGGCCCTGGTCTCCCAAAATGATCTCCCAACTTCCAGCCCCTCTTCCACACAACTACCAAAGGGCTCTTCCTAAAACACAGTGATCATGCCTCAGTCCTGCATGTAAACCTCTTACATCTCCCGCATTCCTCAGTGATCAAGTCCAAATGCTGCACATAGCATTCGAGGCCTTTCCAGATCTGTGCCCCTGCCACCCCATGCCAACCCCTTCTTTCCATATATTTTTCAATGCAGCAGACCAAACTCAACTTCATGCCCTTGAACCTGCTGTGTTCTCATGGCTCTGTACACAGGGCTTCCTCTGAATGGAATCCTTTACTCCAAGGTCCACCAAGGGCTCATTTTCTTTCTTTCCTTTTTTTAAACAATTTTAAGTAATCTCTATACCCAACATAGGGCTCGAACCCACAACCCTGAGATCAAGAGTCATATGCGCCCCACCAAGGGCTCATTTTCATCCCTCAAGGTCCAACTCTTGTGACATTTTTGTGATGGCTCCTCAATTAATGCCTGGGCTGTTATATTTACAATAGCTTCCAGGGCGCCTGGGTGGCTCAGTCGTAGAGTGTCTGCCTTCGGCTTGGGTCATGATCCAGGGGTCCTGGGATTGAGACCCGCATCGGGCTCCCTGCTCCGCGGGAGGCCTGCTTCTCCCTCTCCCACTCCCCCTGCTTGTGTTCCCTCTCTCGCTGTGTCTCTCTCTGTCAAATAAATAAAATCTTAAAAAAAAAAATAGCTTCCTTCTAAAATGAGTCTGAGGTAGCTTATAAAGTATGCACACACTGCAACTAGACTTTTTTTTTAAGAGAAAGGTATCAGGGCAAAAACAAGGCAAAGGTAAAAAAAAAAAAAAGACAAGTTAGGAGGTGGTAGCATTCAAAATCTCTATCATAAAGTCTCATACTCCTCTTGTTAGAGGTAATTTGGCCCTGAGTTTTCTATCCAGAGTGAATTAGTTACTCCTCTGTGAGCACACTGCCAGTTGTATATGACTATCCTGTAGCACTTCCCATATTTTTTGTAATGTGCTCTTTGTGTCCATCTCCCTCACTGGACTGGGAAATTCATAAGGGAATCCATAATTTCTGACTCATCTCTGTATCCCAAGCAGGAAGCCTAGGACTCAGCAGACAGCTGGTGCTCAGCAGATATTTGTTGAAGGAATGTCACCATGGACAGGGAAGAAGGTACTAGTGTTGGCTGAGCTCCCTACCAGGCCTTTGAAAAAACATTGTTTTATCCTCATAAAAAATTACACGGCTGATAAATGGCAGAGCCAGGATTTGAACCCCAAGCTGTCTATCTCTCCAAAGCAACTGTGCTTTCCACTATGGACACTGCTCCCTGCCTTCACCATCACTAGGCACCCAAATACCCACCTCCGTCAAGGCCTGGTTTTAAAAGAACCCTTCTCCAGAAGCCTTTCCTACTTACTCAGGAGAAAAGTCAGCCTGAATCCAGCCCAGACCTACCTTTCACAACAAGTAAGAAATAGCCACAAACGGGGAGAGGAAAGGATGCCTTCTTGGTAGGCGAGGAGTGAGCAGGCTGCAGATGGGTGTTGTGAGGTCCTCAGCTCCCCTTTCCAGTCCCTTTCCTGGGGGTACAGTCCCTAGGCTTTCCTGCCTGCCTTCCTCTGCCTTCTTCAGGGTCCAAAGCCTTCCATTCTCCCCATTCCAAACTGAACCCCCAAATAATCTCCTTATGCCCACAGCTCCTCTAACCAAGTGAATTGTGTTCAAAACACACTCCTTCATTACATCAGGTAGGCCTTTGTATCTTAAGTGTCTTATCAACCTGGGCGCCTGGGTGGCTCAGTTGGTTAAGCGACTGCCTTCAGCTCAGGTCATGATCCTGGAGTCCCGGGATCGAGTCCTGCATCGGGCTCCCTGCTGAGCAGGGAGTCTGCCTCTCCCTCTGACCTCCTTCCCTCTCATGCTCTCTCTCTACCATTCTCTCTCTCTCTCTCAATAAATAAATAAAAATCTTTAAAAAAAAAAAAAGTGTCTTATCAACCTTTAGGGTCCGTGAGTACCCCAATCTCCTCAAACACATGAAAAGAATTTCAGGAATCACCAGAAGGGACAATGACATTTTGGGAAGAGTCTGGCTCTCAACCCATCTGAATAATTTTGGGGTGGCCTGGGAGTAAGAAAAGACAACCTGTGATCTCATCCCAGCAGGATGCCTGGTCTCTAAGGGCAGGATGGAATCCTGGTCCAGAAGGCTTCTGGGGTGGTGAACCCTGGTCTCTTCCTCAACACCTTCCAGAGCTTCAGAATTCTTGCCTCTCTCTCTCCCCCTCCCCAGTCCTCCCCCTTTCTCTCTGTCGTCCCAAATTCCCCTAACAGTCCTCAATCATAACTCAGGAACTATGGTTTTGAATTCATATTTAACCATTTCCTTGGTAACACAACCTCCCATCTGACATGCTGAAATCCACACCCCCGACCCTGATAGTTTTCTACCTCATTTAAAATGTGTGACAAACGGGCGCCCGGGTGGCTCAGTTGGTTAAGCGACTGCCTTCGGCTCAGGTCATGATCCTGGAGTCCCGGGATCGAGTCCCACATCCGGCTCCCTGCTCGGCAGGGAGTCTGCTTCTCCCTCTGACCCTCTTCCCTCTCGTGCTGTCTCTTATTCTCTCTCTCGCAAATAAATAAAATCTTTAAAAAAAATAAAAATAAAAAAATAAAATGCGTGACAAATAGATTCCTGCATCCTATAACCTCTCTCCTGTACTGCAGAAACATTTGTAATCTTAAATGTTACCACATCTAAGAAACAACCAATCTCCTGGATCAGAAGAGGGAAGCTAAATAAATCCTTCACTGTTTCCTACTCCTAAATAAAGATTATTCCGGCAATTTACAGTAGCTCCCTCATAGCGCCGGTGTGATTATTTAGATAACTCATGCCAACTGTTTAGTACCTGGGGCCTGGTAGAGAGAAAGTGCTCAAAATTTAGCTATGATCATTTATGTATATTATCTCTCACAATAGTACCGGGGGTAGTATTAGAGCAGGCACTTCCCCGCAACACCCCCTCCACCGTACCCTCATTTACAGTAGCAGCAGCCCAGGCTCGGAGTAAAGAAGCTTTCCCAAGGTCAGGCGGGCACCGATGTGATGATGCTCGGCCCTCGGCCCCTGACTGAGGGACCCCTCCCATTACACCCTCGGACGGGGCACTGGGGGGGTCTTAAAGGAGACAAGTATGGAAAAGCGCCGAGCACAGTGCCTGGCAAACAGCGCGGACCCTGGGAGGGAAGACCCGGGCACTGCGGTCGCCTGGACTCCTCCCCAGCGGCTCCCCCGGCCCGGGGGGTGTGTGGGGGCGGTAGGGCCAGAGTCCCCCGAGCCCCGGGTGAGCCGCCGAATCTCCCCGAGGTCCGCGCCCTGAGGCTTTGTACGCCGCAGGCCAGCCCCACTCACCGAGTCCCATCGCGGCGCGCAGAGGCTGCCGCCCAGCCTGCGGGGCAGGGGTCTCGGCGGCTCGGCCCGGAAGCCCGCCATGCCGGTCCGCGGCCCCCGCACGCCGCTCCCCCCCCGGCCCCCGCCCCACTGTGGCCGGCCCCCGGGGGAGCCTCCTACCTGCAGCGGCGGCGCGGCGGCCGCGGCGACCGGGGGAGGGGCCGGCGAGGCGCGAGCGCGGGCGGCCTCGGCTCCTTTCGCAGGCGGGGCGGCCGGGAGGGCCGCGGGCTCCG